AAAATACATATGGTTCAGAATGGATTAACCTTATTTACATTGAACCTTATGGAAATTTGATTCGGCTCGCGACCAATTCGGCTTGCGACCAGAATCGTGGAACGATTTAAGTTTGTGAATCGAGGTACCACTGTACTCTCTTTGCTGCACATTTAGGCAGGTAGTTCTTTAGCCCTCAGTTTGTTCATGACTTTTGAGGGTTTGAGGCAGTAGAAAAGGAGTCACAGGGTATTGTCAGCAACTTGGTTGCCCTCAGCAAGGAGCTTCAGCTCAACCTGGAGGAGAAGCTTGATTGAGAAAGTGCTGTCATTGCCCAAAACGTAAGACCCTAACGCCGAGTGCTTCACTAAGGTGTCTGCAGCTGTTCATGATGCAATCCACTGCTACAGCATCATCTATAGGGAAAAGAGGAAGGCCACCAAATTTCACTGGACCGCTTCTTCAGGAAGGCAGAGAAACATGCCATATCAGTTCCGGAGGATGAGTCTATGCCACTGCTGTAAGGTAAGAACTGTACTGTGCATGTTTTTTTTTTTTTATTTGGTTGGTTGGACTTATGAAAAAAAAGCACTTACAAACAGCCTCTTGGAATGTAACCTGTTTGTAAGTAGAGGACTGTCTGTATTATTCCATCATGGTTATTAAAAAAAAGTTTGCTGGCCTAGTACTTAGAGGTTGATACATTACTTCATACTCTACTATGTAGCTGTAGTATTTTAAAAGATCCATGAAGAGAATTCCAAATTTATGCAAAGCAGGTTAGTCAAAAACAAAAAGAAAATAAATCAGAACAAACCCTGAACCAAGATAGATTGTACAGCAAATGAATCATGATAGATTGTACAGCAAATGAATTCAGCAGAATACAAAAGCTACGTAAAACCCTTAAGGAACTATGTCAGTGGAAAAATCAACAAGGGAAGCAAATCTCATGATGATAGTGAAACTTTTTGTGATGGGTAGCAGGCTCAAATGAACTAGCCCAGAAACCCAGCTGTGGCTTCTCTGCTTCTCTTGTCAATTTTGCTGTCGACTTGTCCTTATCACCTGCATTGCCACAGTAATTCCGGATGAGTGACCCAACCAATCAGGCTATCAGTTGCTGCTCCTTATAATGTGGAGGGGCAACCAGGTCAAGGGGAGAGTGGTGTGATGAATATATAGAGATCATGTGACTTTCTCCTAGTGCAGTAGGGTTCCTCTGACCCAATAGGTAAGTCTGTGCATACATTATATATGTATTTAAAATGTTAAAAATCGAACATTTTAAAAGTCAGTTGAAACATTGGATGTGGAGTAGTATAATTGGCTTTTACTTGTCTCACAAGGGTGGAGATGAAGGGGAGTTTTTTGGTTGGCTGACATAATTCTGGAATATGCCAGAGTTGAAATTAGGTGTTGAATGTTTCCTCAAGATTTTCCTGCAGATTTACAATTTGCATTTTAATCAAGTAAGAGGATAAAATTATTTTGTCTAACATTTGTACAATTTTTGTTTTTTAAATGAAAAAAAAATTAATCAAATGATTCACTTGCAAGCTGAACTGCAAAAAATTTAGGAACAGTTTTATTACCTCTTATGTTTGTGTGAAATAGGTCTTGAATTTAAGCAAAGTCTTATTGCTCCATAGTCCTGAAACTAAGTTTTAACTCAGATTTAAGAGCTCTGACTTAATTGGGTTATAGATCCTCCCTCCCTCCCTCCCTCCCTATTATAATGAAATCTGAAGACTTGTCTGAATGATCTTCCAAGGATCATTTTCTGTTTTGCATTTGTTTAAAGCCAAACATGGCATAGTCCAGATCTTGGTTTAATGTCAGGAAAAATTATTAATCTTCCTTCCAGTTAAGGCCCCTTCCCCACTATTGAGTTAAAGGACTAACCAGTCTTTTTGTATGGAATAATGCCATCATCGATTTAGCTGTCCACATTGCCAGTCCTGCCTCTGCTATATTTGTTATGAGCTGTATTGCCTAGATTTGCAGGTACACCAGCTGTTATATGCATGCTGATTGCTCTTTCCACTGGCTTTGCTGTCATCCCATCAGTACATTACCAGCAAGGGGGAAAACATCCGTTGTAGCACTGTAGCCTGTGAGTGGGGTCGGTCTGATGTTGTGTAGTTCTGCAATTGCAGGGCTCTGCTTTGGCTTCTGTAGGCTGATTTGTTTGTCTACGTTCTGCAACTCATGTGTGCATCTCCCAAGTTAAAATAATGTGAAACGAAGAAATAGGTGAGAAGGTAACTCCCACTCATACATTTGTGTCTAAAAATATTTAAAATAGCCCAGCAGTGCAAAAGAGATTCTAAACCTTCTCTCAGCAATAATGAGAGACACAGGAGACCTCAGGGCAGAAAAAGCCTCAGAGTCAGAGAGAACAAAGATCGACTCTCTGCTGCTTGTGTAACTAGCTAAATCCTGTTGTGCTAGATAAACTGAGTCCCTGCTGGACAACTAGATCTCTCCTTTTATGGCAGGATGGTGGTGAGTGAAACTGACAAGTACAGGGAAACTGGCAAATAATCCTCAATAGCTGTAGACTCTGCAGTGAGGAAAAGAAAGGATGCTGCATATTTATATCCTGATGCCAGTTTAGAGTTGACCATGTATGGAATTGTATAAATTCCCCTTTCTTATTTCCAGAATTAAATAGTGGAACACTGTTCTCCTTTCCTTTGCTTGGAAGCCTGGAGAAATTTATTTCAAAAACAGGGAAGGGATAAGGTGAGAGCATGAAAGGAACTCAGAAAATCTAGCACCAATTCAGAAGATCAAATGCTAGGAGAGAAATGGCTGCAGTGGAAGCTGGCTAGTGACCAGAGGAGAAAAAGCGGGTCTGCGCCACTCTAAACACACTTTTGTCACACTGATAGCAGGCCACTGGAATTTGCCAAGATAAAGAATGGCAAAACATAGATTTTACATGCAGCAGCACCATAATACCACTGTTGAGACCAGCTTAGGGACAGCTCATCACAGAGAAAATCTACCTACTATATATGGTTGCTGAGTTGACACCGACTTGATGGCGCATAATCAGCCACCATAATGCAATGACTATCTCAACCTCCCTCTTAATTACATGACAGTAACTTTATTCTATGGTTGCAGTGGGATTAAGTCATCGTCATGTAATGAAGTAGCAATAGTCTTGGTATTATAGTGCTGCTGTAAACAACAAGCACAGAAAGGGCCTATCAATGAAGGAAAGGAGGCTGTGAGAAATCCTATGAAGGTCTGAATTCCCTTACAGCAGTGTTGTCCAAACTTGGCCACTTTAAGATGAGTGGACTTCAACTCCCAGAATTCCCCCCCCCCCCAAGCGTCGCTGGGGGGTTTTTGGGGTTGGAGATCAACATTCTTTAAAAGGGTAAATATTTTGGAAAATTTTGGATGG